TTTACTCAATTCATTGACACTACAGATGCCATTCCTTGGTGTACATGACTATTACATACAAATAAATGAATATTGCACTGAAATTTAAATATGCATAAATGTTGTATAAAATAATTAAGACTTCTTAAGTTTGTTTTGCATAGTTTTGAGTTAGAAAGCAAGTCAGAATATGGCATGACAATCAGTCTGAATCAGATGTTTAAGAATTTTTTTAAGTTGGGAAAAAAACACATACAAAAATTTTCAACAGAGAGACAAATATCAGAATTCTAAATTGATTTACATACAACCTTTAAAAGATAAATGCAAGACTAAACTCAGAATTCTTGTTTTCGATGCCGTATGCTCTTGCTTATGAACATTAGTTGTTGTTGTTGTTGTTGGGCTTAACACCATTTTACAGCACATGGTGGCCAGTGTTAAAGATGGAGGAAGAAACCGTGAAATCTGCAGAAAGAACCACTGACCCACAAGAAGCTATTGGCAAGCTTTCTCATATATATGAACATTAGAAAAATAATTCTCACAATTCCTATTTTTTTCTATATTTTTCTATGAACATTAGAAAAATATAGAAAAAAATTGGAATTGTGAGACAAACATTACCTAGCAACATACATGTTGTAGCAATCAAGTGGCTGGGCCTTGCTAGCTATCCCTCAGTCTGACACTCCTTCAACTTCATTATACAGCCTTAAGGCGTCACAAGAAGCTAGTGTGATCTGATGCAATAAGTTGCCATTAGGGAAGGTAGCTGTAATGTTTTCTTTTCCAAGACAATGACCAAATTCTTGGAATATTTATTGTATCAAGATACTAGAAAATGAAACTGGTCCCAGCTGGGAAGGGCATACCAAAATCCTCTGGAATAAATGAGTCCTTTGGTGCTTCCATATGCAATTGCTGTACAACTAGAGGTAATTTCTCCACTCAAAGAGACAACAAGAAATTTGTATTGAATATCTGTTACACTTGTAGAGATTCCCCAAATGTTTGCTTTTTAAAATTAGGTGAAATTGACCCACCATCAAGGTAGGGTCAGTATGACTCCAGTCTATTGATCAAACCAGACAAGACCTGTCCTTAATAATTAACAGGTTCCAGGTTAGAGACTTCTGGAAATTTGTCAAGAATAAGTGAAAGCAACTCAAGTGAAAATCAAAACCATTACATGTTTGGCTTCTCGTCGGTCAGTGGTTCTTTCCAGTGATTTCCCGGTCTCTTCCTCCACCATTAATACTGACCACCATGTATAGCCTATCATGTGCTGAAAAATGGCATTAAACCTCACAACAATAACAGCATATTTTGCAGCTTATGTGGATGGATAAAGTTATGGACACTCAGTGCAAGGAAGCACAAACTAAACTAGCAGGACATTGTAACACTTCATTAAGATTGCTCATACCTTAGACAGCTTTACTATCTGTTGACTTAGAAAATTGTAATTCATGTTGCCCAATTTATGCCCCATGCATTAACTTGTCCATTATTTCATGGTACATGTGTTCCATGAACCTGAATTCTGATTTTTTTTGTTTAAACTTTAAGGTGATTTGGTGTATCAGGATATTAAGGGAAGAAGCTGTACTGTTGGCAATTAAGAAGATGAACCAAACCCTTGAGTACTATACTATAATACTTGCTTTTAAGTTGAATTAATCTGTAAAAAAAACAAAGATCCAGATTTGCCATAGTATAACGCACCTGCAGATCAAGGTCTATGTTGCTTGTTCTACTGATTACTCCTAACAAACTGAACAGACCAATATCTACCAATACATCATGGGGTCTGGTATGTGCAGTTTGCAGATGGATTCATAAGTGAGTATATATAGTATTTAGTTTATTTAAGATATCTAGAACATTGTATCAAGCAGGGTAGTGAAAGTTAAATACAAGTGGAGTAAGTGGCAGTTTCCTCACTTAAAAATATTACTGGCATTCAAAAAGTTGTCCTCCATGAGAAAGGGGAAGGAAATAATTTGGTGTCATTTCTCCACTCAAAGGAATAAGAAGAAATCAGCCAAAACTGAAAACAATTCCATTCAAAATCAAAACTAAGAAAATTCCCCTCAAACTCAAAGCTAATATATATTTGGCAGTTGATGTTGATGGATATTTTATGAACACTCACAGTAAAATGCACAAACTCTAGACCCTTGGTAAATCTTTACATCATTTATGCCTCATTCTATGATTTCAGCATTATTTGATATAAATAATAATAATAATAATAATAATAATAATAATAATAATAATAATAATAATAATAATAATAATAATAATAATAATAATATAACACTATTAATTTTGCAGATTTCTGTGAATGTGGGTGTCATTGTGTCAGCAAACTGGTCACGAGAGGAAAACTGGATTCATGTATAGAAAAAAATGCCAAGATTTGAAATATTGCAGAAGCAGCACTTGTACTTGCTGAAATATTTGTCAGATGTGGAAACTTCACAGAAATAGGTCATAAAGAAAAGTGGAAAAGAAGGTGAAATTTTCCAAACTCTGGATTGGCCTGTATTAATCATAATGGTTAAATAAACCTAAACTCCAGCTAGATAAGTAATGGCTTCAGGTGTATTTCCATGCATAGTTGTATATTTTATAAATATCCTATGCTGCAAAGTTAGTCATTTTTCTAAGGAAGGCAACTGGGATAAAAGAACAACAAAAAAAAACACAAATGCTGATAATCCAATGCAACTAGTTTCACATTTAATGTATGCTTATTCAGGCACAAAATGTTTTGAAAGAAACAAATGATGTCTTTATGAAGAAGGCATGAAATCTCGACTGAGGAAAATATAAAGTATTTTTCTCATAAAATTGTCTAAATGGGATGGGTTTAAAAGTTATTGAGAGACAGAACCAAAATGTAAAGAAATGACTCTGCTATTTAAGAATTGAGTGAATCTTTAATGCACAAGGGATATAACTTCCACATCAGAACAAAAGGATGACAGAACATGAGACTCTTGGATAGAAAGTTTGCACAGCAAACAAAAATGAACTGGGGCAGATTAAAGAAGTTATGCATGAATGAAGAGCAAAGACCAGAGGGAATGCTGCTATACAAGTTGCCTGCAACTAACAAACTACCTTGATTCTGGAGTGTGGCTAGCAACAGATCAGGTTATGAAGACATTCTGGACACTTAAGTCCAAAATGCTTACTTGATTTTATGATGAAATTTGTCATATCTGTGTAAAGGGAACTGCTAATTTCTTTTTTTAAAATAATTTTTGGGTTTTTTTCTAGTAGAAAAGTTGTGTTTAAGTTTATTGAGCAATGTAATTTTTGTTAAGCTAGTTAATTAAAGTTTTAAATTTTGTATATGGGCTTTCATATTGTTCTATTCTATATCTCTACTCAGATGTCTACTTATATCATTTTCATATTATCATTAATCACTTGATCTGGGTTATAATACCAAGGGTGATCATCCTGAAACATCCATAACCACCAACCAATAATAAATAATAATAATAATAATAATAATAATAATAATAATAATAATAATAATAATAATAATAATAATAATAATAATAATAATAATAATAATAATAATAATAATAATAATAATAATAATAACTGCTACTACTCCTACTACTACTACTACTACTACTACTACTACTACTACTACTACTACTACTACTAATAATAATAATAATAATAATAATAATAATAATAATAATAATAATAATAATAATAATAATAATAAAATACAGGCAGTAACAATTATGAAGAAAATAAAACAGAAAATGATGCAACATGTTTTATTGAAAAAGAAATTAGATGACTTGGCCAATCTGTATACATGTAGTTGGATAGAACATTAATGGGATACAGTAACTAGTTTCGAAAGCGCTTATGTGGCAGACAAGTTTGAATAAATATATATGAAAAGTTTCTTGCAAAGGGGCTGCATAATCCTTAATTCAATTCCTTAAACCAAAGAGTTTGTATTTTCAATTTGTTCAACAATAAATGGCTAACTATTACCTTTAATCTAAGATATTGTCAAAAAGCATCTTGACATGCTATACTTGTTGTGTCTTTGCTACCTTATGTTTCTATGCAGTTATGAAAGCTGTCTTTGATTAATGGAATTTGAAGCTTACTGTTCTTAACAGTTTTCTACATAATTACCCAAGTGGCAAATTTGACATAAATGATTACTTATTACCAGGAAGAGAGACTGGTTGAAGCCTCCCATTTCTTATACAGAGGGCAAAAGAGTCCATGGTACATGCATATAATAGAAAGGTATTCATTGTAAAATCATTTTATTATGGTCAGCTTTGTAATGACAGTTTTTGTACTTAATGATGATTGATGTATGTGTAAACCCTTGGATACAAAAATTATGATATAATCATCTTGAGTTATTAGAGGCAAACGGGAAAGTTTAATACAATAAACAGTGCATATGTTGATCAAGACACAAATCTTGCCTTGTTAAATTAGCTACTGAATTCATCATGTTTAAACTGGAAATTTGTCTGTGTTTGTTAAAACATCACTAGCACTAATTGCAAACAATCACATTTTAGGTACATAATACAAGTTGGTCAAATCCAGTGTCATACATAGTCACCAATATTCCTATCAAATTTCTTTTAAACTGACTTACAATTTACTTTTGAAACATGGCAACTTAACATGAAGGCAGTGGCTTACTAAGGGTAAATTTCACCTAGGGTGGCAATGATGGTCCAAAGGGGTTTTGGTGCCCCAAGACCTCTTACATGCATGGTTTTGGCACCCCATGACCTCTGGTGTCTGGGGCAACTGCCCTGTCCACCTCTCCCCATTAGTAAGCTACTGCACAAAGGGGGTATCTGCCATTGCCAGTAAATTACTGAACACTGATATTTGTATAACAACACAATAATTCACACTAGATTCGTCAGTTGGCAGAGTGATCTATTATAAGGACTTGCCTCTACAAAATCAATCAGACATCTCACTTTCATCCACACAAGTTTAACCACTCTGGTGGCCTAGTGGTTAGAGTGTCCATCTCAGATGCGAGAGGTCATGGGTTTGATCCCCGGTCAAGTTATACCAAAGACTTACAAAAATGGTACTAATAGCTTCCTTGCTTGGCGCTCAGCATAAAGAGGTTAGTGTTAGGACTGGTCAGCCTGGTGTCAGGATAATGTAACTGGGTGGGACATCATGCTACATCTCTTCGGCATTATGCCCCAGTGCTAGACATCTCTATAAACTGCCACACTGCAAACATCGTAGCGATATGACTGAAAAATTGTTAAAACTATGTCAAAAATCATCACATCACATCACATCACATCACATCACCTCCACACAAGTTCAAATCTTGGCCCAACCAACATGGGTGTGATGTGTGGAATTTTGAAAACTCTTAGAAGCTTTGTTTAAAGGAATTGTATCAAAGTCAACTTAATTAAAGTAGAAAGGGCTAGAGATAGTTAGATGATTATTTTCATTTCATCTCTGAACGTCAAAAGGGAATTCTAGCCGACGTAACATGACCGAGTCAGATGCTATGGTACAAGAGAATGACATAAGACCTTTCCCCAAAATCGGCAGGGTAGAGGCGGCATCTGGCTATAGATAATAGCTCAAAGGAAATGATTAATTACGGCATGATTAGTTGTTTAGTTTTCTTGTCAATCCAAACATTCTACGAACAGGTTTAGGAAACTATCTATTCCGATTGGTTAATATGGATTTATGGGCGTAACTCTGTAAGAAATTAAAGGTTTTAGGGAAATTCTTTAGTTGTCTTGATCTTTCGCAAGGAAAGTTAGTATGACTCTGAACTTCGTAGAAAGTATGTTTTCGTTATTGAGTAAGGGGCCGGATAGTTCTCTCAGTTAGGAGACGGACTATACGTGAGGTTTGTGGAAACATAAAGAAACAGCAAAAGGAAACAGCTTTCCTGGATTCCCATGAGAAATCCCTGAATAATCACAGGATGAGAACAAGATCTACGCAGAAATTTAAGTCCAGAGACAATTGTTAAGTCAGAGTTCGACGGACAAGAGTCCAAGATGAAAAAGCTAGACAAAGATCGACAGAGCAGGGACGAACGGTAGTCTTGATGTCTGCATAAATTAGGTGATGAAGTCTCTCAGCGTTACACTCAAAGGTCACATCTCATTGGCAATGAGGATAGCAATTTAACGTTGAAAGTAATTTTACATTTAAAGAAATTTGTATTGTCTTTTTTATTTGAGTACATGTTAGTACCATTTTTCCTTCTTTTGTAACTAAGTCATTGATTTCTTTTCATTTTAAATTCTGTTGATAAACTGATTAAATTTTATATTTGTTCATTGAAAGGGGGCTCGTTTTGTTATTTCTTCAATATACTCGTTCAGTGATCTGCATTCTTCTTTCTATCTATCCACACTGGGTAAACTACACCGCGGAGGTCATTCCCTAGCAACAAACCATAGTGAAAGAGGTTGGTGTGTTTTGCACACCGCCAATTTGCCACAATGGGTATGTGAGAAAGTTTGCCAGTTGATTCCCATAGGTCAATGTTTCTTCCAGGGGTTTTCCCAACTTTTTCTTCCACCAAATATACTAATTGTCATGTATAAGCCTATCAGGTGCTGAAAATGACATTAAAATCCACAAAACCAAATCCAAACCTGCAGAATGACCATTGTTACAATTAAATAATAATCAGTTCAATAAAGTTAGAAGTGCCATATTTTAGGCTCCCTCTCTCACTCTCTCACTCAATCTCACCCTTCCTTTCTCTCTGTTGATAACTTTCATAAATTCAATCTAATACTTTAGAAAATGTTGTTTCTTTATAATCTCATTAATTGTCTGTTGTCTGATGATTGGTACTGCCACTGAATCCAGAAGAGATGATTTCTTTACACTGTCAGTAATTGTTCATTGTCTGTAGTTGTACTACAATCAAATCAAATAGAGATCATGTTAAACCTTATGTTCATTTCTGTTCAGATGGGAAAAAAAGATTCCCAAATTGATTGCAATGGTGTGAAAAATTATGAATTTCAGACCTGACTGGGATATTTTCTAAATACCAGTACAAGACTTCCAAAGTCCATCAGGACTTTACCACATCTATTTGATTAACAAATGTCTGGAATGCAGTCATGCTCACAGCCATCCTTCTGAATTGTCAATCAACTTAACTTAGCATTTCCTAATCTCATTATCCAAGAGGTGGCTTATCAGCTGAGGTCTGGTCCTGCTTTCATATATATCTAATGTTCAAGTAAACATAGTGAATACTGATACTGACTATTTCTATATTAAGCTGGAACAATTCATTTAATCTACATTTTGGAACAAGCCAGTTATTTCAGCTCTTAAGATTTAAGCACTGACCTTAAAGGGTCTTTGAAAATATTTTACAAATGGAGAAAATTTTGAGTTTAGTGTATAACTGAGTTTAAAAGATTTATGAAAATAGGTCTTAGTATAATTACATAATGTAGGTTCTCTTTTGGAATTGCTTTCAGCAACTGGATTAAAATAAAGACTTATAAATATATAATATTTTTAGGGCTCAAAATTGACTCAAACAAATGTTTCTTTGATTTAGCTCAAATTTAATAGTTTCCTTTCTTTGAGTGAAAACTGCATCTCTCGTTTTATACCTGTAGAATTTTCTATACCAGTTTAACTTTTGATCCATTAGAAAAAGATTTTTCTTATGTAAATGAACATGGAAATGGAATGGAGTTATTTTTGGACAGGTCAAATAGGAGTCTCCCTATTTGAATGAATCTAACACATGTCCATCTATATACAACATAGACCCAGATCTGACAGTCTATAATCTGTATCAACTACACTACAAATCCCATTGCTCTACATAGAATTTCAAGCAAAGCAGCAGAGGAAATGGACTGACCTTTGTTGCATTGTGATGGACTAGTTCAAATGATGATTGGACAAAACAGATGGTTGCAAAAGATAATTGGCCAAAACAGAAGGTTGCAGAGTAGTTAAGGCAGGGGAGTATGATGTTTACTATGACTGTAATTTTACCTCCAAGGGAATGACAGTGGAATGTCTTAACCAATTAGCAGGTGGGTGGGTGGTAGATCCATGCACTTTGGTTTATTGTATTAACCATGTGTCTATCAGGACAAAGATCCTGCTCATTGATCAAGTTACATATTTCTGAGCACTTTTTCAATACTGGTATATTTGGACATTGAATAATGCAATGCACAAAGGTTGCTCCAACTAAAAGGAATTTGAACTAAGCTGTGGAAGTTGATGGTCAAGTTTGATGATCACCATGAAGGAAATGGAGGTAACTGGAATTCTTCCTTTCCTGTTTTGAAATGTTTCTTCTTCCACAGCCATTTACAGTTCAGTGAAAATGTATGTTGTGCATGGTCATTGAGTCATATCACAATGAAGTCTGGCTAGCTAAGCAGTGGTTTTAAAAAAAAAAACATTTAATGAGGGACTGTCATAGGATCAACAGGTTCCAGTATCACATGATGGTAGTACGTGTATAATCAACAACAATGGTGGCAGTAGGTTTGGCAAGACAACTTAAAAATAAATCAAACTGTTCTGTTTCCAACAGAAGTAGATAAAGAACATATTCCAAAATGACAGACAATGCATGACAAACATAGTAATGTAGACAAATATGTCAACCAAACATAAAAGGTTGTGAGTTACCTGATGTCAGATCACCATCATATTTATTTAGAACTAACTAGAAAGCATTAACAAGTCTTTAGATGAAAGCTCAAATATGACCATCCATCTATGAGGAATACTGATAACAAGATTTACAAGATGGCTGCAGTGGTGGCCATACTGGATGTTGATAGGCACTATTTTCAAACAGGATCAACTAGACTTCATATTAAGTCTTGCTTTGAAAACCCCATGTCAACAGAACTTTTCATTCACAAGAAGTTTTTTTTAGGTAACAAATGCATTACCTATACTGGATGTTCAAGTTGCATCAGTTTCACGCAGGACCAAGATAAGAAGTCTTACAGTGAAAATCTGATGTAAATATGATTTTCCATTTGGAAGGTGTAGTGATAAAAAAATTTTCTGAAGTCCATTTATGACCAGCTAGACCATAGGATGAATGTGTGTATAAAGATTCATGGCAATCCTTAAGTAGCTTAGAAAAAGTAAAGATAACAAATTTGTGCTACTTGCCCAATGGATGACAGACAGAAAATAGATAAGAGGCCATCTCAGATCTATGACAAGTAGAGCTAAAATCAGGACAGAGGTAACATGAAAAAAATAGATTTGTCATCTGAAACCCAAACTTTAGCTCTAAAAACACTGACTTTAAAGCTCTAGGCTAAAGTGGCTTGGACCTAACACATCTTGGTCTCAGAATCAATAGAACATTCTGCCTAGGACTTTAGATGAAACCTAAGCCCGAAAATTCTAACTAATCAAGCTGAAATAATAATTCTATTTTAAGGGCTTAACTGAGGACCTTGAAATCCCCAAATCTATTGGCTTCTGCCTCTACCCTTCAGTAAAGGTGTACATCAAGTTTGAGAAAAATGACCACTGGTAAATTTAAGTTATGTTTACAGGAAACACCTTGTCTATGAATAGATTGTCTGACTGAAATCACTATTGCTCCACACTTACTGTAGGGATGAGTTAGGTGAGGTTAAAAAAAGATGTGATACAACAATGCAAATATAGTCTCACTATTAACATAGTAAGATGTTGGTTGCTTCACATCACTAAAACTAGGGTAAGCACTGACCTTCAAACAGCAGCACACTAATGGAAATTTCTCTGATAAAACATGTGTACAGTACACTGTATATCTAATTAACAATGTAGAAAGGTGGAACATCATCTTTTGTTTTTGTCAAAGTTTACTAAGGATTCTTTGTACAGGTTTTGTATGAATTTATTCTTTAATGTTTTAGCACTCTTTATGCATATGCCACTGGTGTTCTAATGAGGAAGTTCCATTAGTCTACATGGCCCTGAGTGGCAGAGTGGTCTAAAGCCCTCTCTGTTACGGATCACTGCCATCTCACCTCAGTCTGTGTGGGTTTGTGGGTTCGAGTCTTT